AGACAGCGTCACCTTGAAAACTTCAGATATAGCAAATCTTTTGGTGAGTAGGTAATTCATGCTGATTAAATATATGGGGAATGAAAAAAATGGGAAGTGTGGGGAAAGTATAATTTTTCCCCCCCGTTATGTTATTATGTTCCTGAGTCAGTCTTAACTCCTGGAGACTGCCTGGACTAGTCCCTGATGTTTTCTTGGCAAGATTTCAGAAGTGGTTTGCCCTTCCTAGGGCTGAGAGAGAGTGACTAGCCCAAGGTTACCCATCTGGCTTTGTGCCTGAAGCAGAACTCGCCATCCCCCAGTTTCTAGCTCTCGGCTTTTAACCCCTACATCAGACATGTCAAACACAAGGCCCGGGGGCCAGATGCGGCCTGCAAAGTGGTTTCATGTGGCCCGCGAAGCCATCCTGGAAACAGTGAGGGAACGGCTCCCGCTGCCTTGGCCCTGGCCCAGGCCAGCCGGGAGCCAATGTACAATTTTGTGGTGGCCCTCTATGCTGAAATGCATTCAGTCTTAGCTCCACAAGGCTGTCTGGAAACAGCAAGGAACCAGCCCCTGCGGCATCGGCCCCACCCCCTCGGTGCATGCTGGGGAGGTGTCACCCTTTGTGAGGAATGAAGAAATGCACCATCGCTTGGAAGTGGCCAGCAAATGGCCCTCACCTACTTCACATATCCAGCTTGATGGGCTCTGGGGGAGGGGTTTCGGCAGGCAGAGGGGCGCTTTCTTCACAGCACCGAGAGGCTGAGCCGGGTGACAGAGATCCAAAAAGAAATGCGAGGCTGCCCAGCTCCCACCCTGCCAGGTTTCAGAAGGCAGTAGGGCGCTCTCACAGTGCCAAGAGCTGAGCCGGGTGGCGCAAATCTGATGAGAAGTGCAATGCTGCCTAGCCCCCAGCCTGCCCAGTTTCAGCAAGGTGCAAAGTTGGCGAGCTTTGCACCGCCAGGCTCAATCTCTTGGCGCTGTGAGGAGAGCGCCCCACTGCCTGCCGAAACCAGGCAGGCTGGGGGCTGGGCAGCATCACGCTTCTTTTTGGATTTGCACCGCCTGGTTCAGCCTCTTGGCGCTGTGAGGAAAGCGACCTGCTGCCTGCCGAAACCGGGCAGACTGGGGGCTGGGCAGCATTGCACAAGTAATGTTGACTCTCACACTGCTCATGGCATCCCCTCCTCCAGAGCCCACCAAGCCAGATATGTGAAGTAGGTGAGGGCCATGTGCTGGCCATTTCCAGGCAATGGTGCATTTCTTCATTCCTCATGAAGGCTGACACCTCCCCAGCTGTGTTTCTTGCCTGTTTTTCTCCCTCCCTCATCTCAAATATTTTCCCACCACTTTGTACTTAGGAAGGAAAGAAGGAAAGAAGGAGAGGGAGGGTCTGAGGGAAGTCCTGCCTTAGTCCTGCCCTGCTGCCCTTTCACCATCCCCTTGCCCCCTCCTCCTGGCCTATCCTGGGGGTCTCCCATCCTATTGCTAAGGAAGCTTTGGATACAAAGCTGGGTCTCCTCCCATGGAGAGGGAATGGGCCTCCCTCTGACTTTGCCCTCGTACCCATCATGAGCAACCTGGGTAAGGAGAGCAAGCACAGCAGCAGCAGCCTTGAGAAGGAGGTAAGTGCAGCTGGGTGCCCCCTTGGGGAAGTGGGGCTGGCTTGGTGCCGCGGGTGCTCGAGGGCTAGGCTGGGCATTTGACCTCTGCTGTCCAGGGCTCCCAGCAGCCCGCACTACCATCCAGCCTCCCCCCCCCCACATGGCCTGAGAGGAACAGTGAGGCTCCTCAAGGGGACCATGCCTTGGCACTTGCCCTGTCCCACCCCCTTCTGCCAGAGACCCTCAGATCTGTCCCATTCCTGCCCAGGCCCCCACAGGCACCCTTGACGTGAATGATGTAGAGCTGGCCACGCCCAACCAGTAGACCACACCCACTCCATCCACGCCCATCTAGTAGGTCGCACCCACCCTGGCCACACCCACACGGCCCCCCAAGGGCAACTGCAATGCTGATGCGGCCCTCAATGAAATTGAGTTTGACACCCCTTACGTAATAAAACAGATTAATGTCATATACTTTAAAAATATTATTTTACTTTTTTTAAACTGGGCAAAAATAATAGTTCTTGCGATTATACCACTCCAAAATTAGTAGCTGAGTAACCAACAGAATGCAGAAGTATAATTAGAAATACTCAGTTTTAAAAAAAAAGAGGAAAGAGGAGGAGAGAGGGGAAGGGAAGGAAAGGAAAATCCAAAAATCTTGTCAACTTTGTAAGTCATGAAAGCTGTAGTTCAAAGCCAACCCCACAGTGGAAGTAGTTATAGATATTACATTTCATAGCTGCTCTTACTAAAAAATCACTGATATTGTGGGGGGGAACCCTCTTCAGAGAATGGGTTTCTTAAGCTCCTTAAAAAAGAGGAAAGTATAATATCCCTGTCCACACTTTCCCTATTATAGGTAGTCATCTGGCTAATTTTATATCTACTTTGGCCCATAATTTTTCTAGAATTTTGTTCTTGACATTTTGGCATTTCTCAAAAATTAGAAGAAGAGAAAAATCTATTTCAGTATAATAAATGAAAAAAATAAATGTTTCCTCAAATGTTAAACATTAGTAATAATAGGTTATTAGTGATTAGAAAAATATTCAAATAAAATGTTTTCTTTTATATAAATAGTTGCTATTTTCTTGCATAAATGCAGCTGAAAACAGTGTTAAACTTCAAAATAGGTTTGTATCTTCAAAATAATACGTTAACTGGGAGGTGTTTTGACTTTGCTGAGTGAGAAATTCCTTGCAGGATGTTAGTGATAATACTATACAATTGTTTGCTTGCACCTTGAACACATTGTTCAGGAAGTACTTTGAATTGTAATTGAGGTTGGAGATATTTCTTAAATAAACTTTGAACTCGGAATGAAATGAATAATGGAAAATGCAGGATAATAACTTTGAAGACAGCTCTGAATAATATAATGTTTTACTATTGCTAAAACGTATCACTATGATTGTGAAAAATATTCCTTCATCTTCAACAAAAATTGCCATGGTGCCGGATTGCGGAAGCATACTAGAATGAGTACTGAGTCTGAAAATCATAGCTCTTGAAGACTTCCGGAGGAAGAAATGGTGGATTGAAGGTAACTCCATGAAAAGCGGAGCCAATGATCATGGCGAAGAATGAAGAGTCAGTGAAATGGACTGGCTCCTTGAACCTCTCCAGAGAAAGAGAGGATGGGAGATCACCCATGGGTGCTTCAGACAATTGCTACTCCCAAGGAGTCTGCAAAACTGGTGGGTTTTCAGCACTGAGAGATGAAGGAATAGTCATCTTGCTTAAACTGCAGTGAGATACCAAGTTCATATAGTTCCTTTTCTAATCACTTTTGGAAATTGCTTATTAGCTACTTTTCAGCTATTAGAAACTTTGGATTTACAAATCAGAAAATATGAGGTGAGTCTGCCTTCAATTCTTAATGAAAGAAACATATGACTACAATCTTAAGAGCTGAATTTAAAAAAAATAAACAACAAAAGGTTGATTAAAATGTTGGTTTTAGAACACTACAAATGGATTAAAGATCCAGATAAATTTGAAATAAAATGTTGGAATTAATTAAAAAAATCATTGCTATGGAAAAATGCTTTTGTTTTGATTTTTTTAAAAAACAACAACAACAAAGTTTTAAAAATTGTACACTAAAGTTTCAAGTAAAGGAGAAGAACACATACATGTGATGATTGGTTATGGAATGGCACAAGATATTCTAATGCTGCAACTATTGAAGAATACTTTCAAAACCAGAGCCAGAAATTAATAGATACTGTCAATAGCAATATTTGCCTCTATGGCTAGATTTTATATAAAACACATTATGGAAGAAGGACATATGTTACTTAATAAGACAGAGACTGAGTTGAAAGTGGACTTATTTTACAGATTACAAGTTACAAAGTTGACATGAAAAAAGATGTTACACTGGACTTATAAAAGAAATTGGCTGATATTTTAATAATTAAAAGTTCATACAAACAATAAACCAAGAGAAGGACTTGGACAATCTTTCTTACAAAAGAGACTTTAATTTTTTTTGAAGAATCTTGTGAGAAGGGACAAAGAAATGAAATTTAGTTCTAGATCATTATTTGAATGGACTAAAGATTAAGATTGATAGAAGTAAAATGAAGGAATATAAAATTGATTTATTTAATCAAGATTAAACTAGATATATTGATATTTCTGGTAATCCTTTATGGTCTTTTATTGATACTTGGGAGTCTCTTTATATATTACTTTTATTTTACTTCACTATGTTTTTATTTTTATCTCTTTTCTTTTTTCTAGTCTTTATTTCTTTTCTAATTTTACTCTTTTCTCTTCTTTCTTTTTACTTTCACATCTTTTGGTTTGTATTATCTTGTATTATTCTAATTATAATATTTAATACAATTATTTTTTTAAAAAGAAAATTATAGCTCTCTAGTTATTGTCTCACATAACAGCAAAGAATATGGTTGATAGTAACACTGTAGAGATGATTGTCAAATAACTATGAAACTCTCAAAAGATGTTAGTTTCCAGAAAGGAAGAAAGGAACAAATTCATAGCCTATAGATAATCTCCAAACAAATTTTAAACTGTGTTCATTTGTCCCAAAGATCTTGCTGTTAAAATTTCACAGCAAAGGAAATTAGAATCTGATTTTCCATCATGTTATTTTAACTTTAAGAATATATGTAATGCCATGTAATGCCCCTTTCCAAATAGGAAACATTTGAGATGAATATTCTGCCTTTTCCTGCACTGATGCCATCATATAACTGATATGCCTTTCTTTAATCTTTGACTGCCAAAAATAAAAAAATCAGCTATAGTAATACCTTCTATAATACATAAAACATATATATTTAAACATGGAAGATTCTTTCCACTAGGTATGCTCTGTTTTACTGGAGTTCAAGCTTTTGTTGAACTGCTTGTTTTTCTATATTCCCTTTTTAGCTTATGATGGCTTCTGTTTATACTTCAAATAAAACAATCAGAGTTTGTCCTTTCCTCAATGGAGATGTTGAAAACCCAGAAGCCAGAGCTAATAACTCATGGATTAGTCCCAATCTGCCTAGCAGATGCACTTGGAAACCAGGAAAATCCATCTCAGAGTCACCTCATCGCTATATGCCTCAGTAAGTAGCAACTTAGAGTAATCCCTGCATTAAAACTGTATCTCAAACAGGAAACAAAGATTCCTTTGGCTCATCAGCAATATGATCTGTTAAGAATTTGCTTCTGATAGAAGAGTGTGCAATGCCCTAAATTTCCCTATCTTCTAACACAAATTCTGAAATGAGGACCATAGACAGCTATGACCTGTTCCAGTTTTCAGCATTAGCTTCAGCATATTCCAGGAAATTTATGCAACTTTTTGTTATTTTCATATGTTGAATAGAGTGATCAACACTTGTTAAATTAATGGCATTGGATTTTGAACTTTTTTGGCAACAGCTTAGAAACAATCAAAACAAAACTTTAAATGTATGTTTAATTTAAAGTACTAATTAAGGAGTATTTAACTGCATATTTGAAAGAGCATGCACCGATGTTGAAATGGAATGTACAAACTTTTGATAGTGGCATATGTCAGAAATAGGTTACCAATTCTGTTCCAAAACACATCTGTCAGTAAAGGTGCAGATTAGTGAATACCTTAATGTTCTGCTCACTCTGACTTGTGCAGTACTGGAAATGATCTTGCATGTACAGATCCTCTGCATAAGATTCCTGCTGGGTGATGGAATCAAATGCCCCTTGCATAGAGGAGAGCAGGGGTCATATCCATTTAAATGTGAAGCTATTTGGACCTCAGCCCCTCACATGAACTTTTAATGGAAGATAACCTTTATGGTTCTTCTGTATTGCTAATATTAACAACACCTGCCATATTAGCATTGATCTGAACCATGACAGGCTATAATCTGAGCCCAGGATTGTTATGTAATCGAAGAATGGAGAATGCCTCGTACACAAAGCCTTGTACAAAGTTTTCCCCCTTTCCCAAGTCTTTATAGAGCCTGCAAGCTGGAAGAAAACATGCTGGCCATTCTTATTAGTATAATAACTAATCAGAGAGAAGTTGTTCTACTCTTTAAAAAAAGTGAATTTTCGATCAGCAGATTCATGGGTTCTGTAGGGAGGGGGATCAAAAAAAGTCAGGATAGCGGCCACAACCATATGATCAAACCCACTCTTCCTTAAATCTGTCAAGAACCACATGAAAATATTTCAGTCACATGGTAGTGGCCACCGTAACTTTTCTTCCCGTCAAATAGACACACTTGCTGTTTTGTTTTCTTTAAAAAAAAAAAACTGCCTTCAGAAATGCCCTATTTGGGAATACTAGGTGGTCTTTCCAAGGGATGCCCTTCTGAAGAACTAAACTCTATTATGTTATTTGGGGACACATGGAATATAATATAAAAACAGTCTGATGAATCAGTACATAAAAGATTTTGATTTTTCTCACTATCATTCCTCGTGTTCACTGTTAAAAATAAATCAAAGCCAGGCTTTACTTTTGTACATTGGTCATTATTGGAGTCAATAATGCATTTCAGGATTATTTTGGTTTTATTCTTTTTCCTTGTGCAGGCAAAAAGAACCAAAGATTTTGTCAAATGTCTTAGAGAAAATTGGACACACTCCTCTGATCCGTGTCAACAAGATTTCAAAAGCTTATGGTCTCAAGTGTGAACTTTGTGAGTATTTCTTTGCCAAAGTCATCTGGAATGGTGTTGAATTTGGGATAGGAATCAAAAGAAAAAGTTTTCATTCCAATATATAGATTGGGCTGTACAATGGATTTTACAACTGACACCCACCAGCAGTGTTTCTCAACCTTGACAATTTTAAGGCATGTGGACTTCAACTCCCAGAATTCCACAGCCAGCAATGCTGGCTGTGGAATTCTGGGAGTTGAAGTCCACATGCTTTAAAATTGTCAAGGTTGAGAAACAGTGCACCAAAGTGACATGTTGCTAATGCATCATTGGTTGTTGGCTAGTAATTCTATTGCCCAATTTTATCCTTTCTAAGAAGCATTCATTTTGTCTGATAACTCGTTGATTAGAAACATCCCCTTCCTGTAATTTACATAGTAAATCTATATAATTTTGAACCAAACTATACATTATGTAAGTTAGCCTCAATTCAATTACCTGATAAACTGATTTTTACTCAGAGAGGCGCTAAAAGGGACAAGAAATTTAATACTTTCCTTCTATTATTTCTCTCCTACTTCAATGCTATTTGTCTTATAGGGAAAACAAAATAATATTTTTCACAGAAAGAAATCAACATCCAAGTTTATCAGACAACCACACATGCACATTAAAGTTACAATAAAGCCTGCAAATGGTCTGACAGTGAAAAATGGAAGCCTTTATTTGCATTGGACATTTGTTTTTAATACTGAGGGTGATCAGAAACAGCATCTCTTTCAATATCGGTTATTAATATTGGTATATTATTATTAAGGAATAACAACAAAAATAACAAAGGTTGCCCTCTGTATATGTATTTTTGTTTCTGGCCAAAAGACCCAAATAATAATAATAAGGTGCAGATATAATTTAAAATTTGGCATTAGATAAAACAGTTTAACAGATAAAATAAATAGATAAATATAGCATTTAAAATTAAAAGATATTGATGTGTTAGCCACAAACTTGTTTTTTTATTGCTGTGGTTAAAAATTTGACTGTTGCCACTGTAATTTTGGAATTTTCTCTGCAAGTAGAATGTTAACATATTGAGAAACATCTCTTCCTGGTCTGATTGCCCTCTCTAGTGAAGATAGATAGCTCAGATAACTGAACACACTTCTGTCTTTCAAGCACAGCATCCCCCAGAGGAGAAATATATGAAGAGTAGCCAAGGGAGATGGCTAATTCTTTTTCCCTAAAAACCATTGGTCTTTTTAAAATTCAAGCAAGATCTTAAGGAGAAGGCAAACAAGCAAGAAGAGTGTATTGAGATGGAAGAGGGGAATAGCTATTCATTTATAGTCCCAAATCAAAGCTTGGACTTTCAGGAAAAAACACAAGCATTGCACAAATATTATTCTTTATTTTCTGAATGTTATTTAAGGCTCATTTGTGGGCTCCGATATTTATTTTCTCTGTGGGAGATTGGTTATCTTGTGTTTGGTAGCCTGCAACAGAGTCTCCTCAATTATTAACAAATCCATTCATCTTGGGATCTGCTAATCAGGTTATGATCTGTAGAGTTTTGGTGTTCTCTGAGTTTGCTTGTTTGCTTGCAGACATTTTATTATATGATTAGGTAGTATCATCAGTGCTGGTGAGCAATGTGTTTACTCCCTTTTACATACAGTTGCCCGGGGGTGTGGGGTTTTTTCCTTGGCAGCTTGCTGATTAGGGTACTTGTGAGGTGGAAGTTCATCCTCCCAGCTTGTGGGCTGGGTATTATTTTCTGCTTGATTGTTTGTCTGATGTTAATCCATGCTTATCTGATTTTGGCTGCTGGAAAGGATGTTTTCTGATCTCTTTTTTTCCTCCTTGGCTTTTTTTATTCTCTCTTTTGAAGGGTGTGTAATTGTGATTTATCTCTATGTGTCTATTGATGGCTGGTTTGTCTGAATGCCAAGATTCCAGGAATTCCCTAGCTTTTTTGTATTTAACTTGGTCTAGGATGTTCATACTTCCCCAGTTCAAATTATGTTGAGTCTGTCCATGTGTTGTGAGATTATTACTGCAGGATAAAGAAAACTACTTCCCAGTAAACACCAGCCCAATACAAAAACTGCACAACATGATGAACCCACCCACTTAAGCCAAGACCAATGTGCTAAATGTTTAATATACAAAATGCTGGAATATAATTTCAGTAGTATGTTTGGTTAAAAGTGATTCCTGTTTCTATCTTTAAAATCATTTCATCAATATTAGAATTTTGGCAAGGATAACAGAGATTTTTGTTTTCAAATTCAAATTTGTTCTTGTTTTGAAATTCCAGTGGCCAAGTGTGAATACTTCAATGCTGGAGGGAGTGTAAAAGATCGAATCACTTTAAGGATGATAGAGGATGCAGAAAAAGCTGGTATCATAAAACCAGGAGATACACTCATTGAACCTACATCAGGAAATACAGGTATAAAATATGAGTAAGGTAGAGTACGTTTTTTTTAAACTAGCCTTAGTGTCAAAAAAAAAGGTTGTTATCCATTCCACAGCTTGGCATTTTTCAGATATTTAGGATTCATAATATTGCTTGGCAGTTTTGGGAGTTACAGTGCTAACATATCTAAAGAGCCCAAGGCTGAAAGAGCTGATTGAGATCAAATGCAGCAGCTTACATATGTACATATATACTTATTGCACAGTTCCCTTTTAGGGAAAGTTGGCATGTTGGAAAGTGCAGAAAAAAGTAACACTCTTCACTATAAATTTCCATCCAAACACCAATTCATGCACTTCTTTTTTTTCTTTGAACATTTTGAAAATCTCATCAGCTTCATTCAGTCATGACTTGCCCTGTCTTTCTTTTATTCTTGATCTGACCACTCTTCCTTCATATATTTTATTTTATAATTTGATCTTCATTTATTTTTTTCCTATAAACTGCTGCTTCAATACGCTTTTCTTGTACTGGTTACTTTCTCTTGTATCTGGTCCACATTTTTCATCACCCATTCCTTCTTAATCTTCAGTATTTTTTCCTGCTTTGTCATACATTTTTAAGTAACCTCATTCCCACCGTGCACAACTTTTATGCTTCTAACATACATAAGACTCATTTCTGTGTAACAAAATGAGGATAAAAACTTGCTTTTATATGCAACCATTTTTTTGCATTTTTTACAAATATTTCTTGCAACAGGACCACAAAATTCATTACCTTTGTCCCAGCATTTCAATGTCTTAACCTTTCTCCAGTTATTTTTAAAAACTTTAGTAAACAATCTTCCAAGGCATTCAACTTCATTCACCTACTTCATTTTTGATATTTGTATAATTTACAGCCATTGTCCTCATTTTCCCCTATAAAAAAATAACTACCGTACCTTGATCTTCAATACATTAATCAAATACATCTTCTTTTCACATTATATAATCTAACATTTATTAAAAATCCTTCAGATTCCCAGTTCACAACAAATCATTGTCTACATATAAGAGACTAAGAGCCCCATTTTCAAGGGCTATAGAACATCATTAGTGTGGGAGTCACATCTATTTCTGATGGTCTATTATTCCTGAAGGCCGGTGCCAGGATAGAAGGCACACTTTCTGGATCCTGATTAGTGGCATTGTTTAATTGACAAGACCTGCAACTTACCATCTCTGACAGATCTTACTAAATGAGCAGAAACCATGAGAGATAGATGCTCCCTCAAATAACCTGGCCCTATCACATGAAGGGCTATATAGATGATAAGCAGCACCTTGGATTGTACCCAGAAGGTCACACTGTAGTTTGTGGAGCAGTGATATTATATGGATACATGAAGGCATGCCTAATACTGCCCAATGCTGCCATATTCTGGAACAGCTGTAGCTTCTACGCAGTCTTCTAGGGCAGCTCCATGTAGAAAACATTGCAATAATCCAATCATGAGATGACTAGGGCATGAGTCACAACTTGAAAGACCTTCCAGTCTAGGAACTGATGCAACTGAGACACCAGATGAAGCTGTGAAAAGACGCTTTAATCACAGCTGCCACCTATTCTTTGGGAAGGAGCTGTGAGTCTAAGATATGGGTCTTCAAATGACTTGGCCCTTTTATGACTTGTGGACTGCAACTCCCAGAATTCCTCAGCCAGTGTGCCTGAAGTCCACAAGTCATAAAAGGGCCAAGTTTGAAGACCCCTGATCTAAGAAGATTTCCAATACCAGTGCTTAATGTCACAAAGGCAACCAAAGATCAGTTTTACTCAATGCATTATCATACTATTTTATCCAAGCTAGAATCTTTAAATTAAATATTGTCTTACATGTCAACATACTGTTGACTTCCTACCAACTAGGAAGTACTTACAGCATACTCAGCCTACAAATATAGCAGCTATTTTTATAAATGCTTTGAAGTACATGATGAAGAAACTACAAATTGCAGGAAAGTTATTTCTCATAGTAATTTTGTAGGTTTGTTTCATCTCTTGCATGAACAGCTACTGTTAAATTTCTAAATGTTGCTTCCTTATCACCTATTCCCTGCAGTATTGAAATACAGCTACATAGAGTCATAAAATGAGCTTAACATTTGCACATTTTTAACCTAAAAACACAAATCAGTACTGTGTGTTTTCAATCCTGCAGGAAACCGAACCAATCTTCTTTATCCTCTTTATTTTAGCATATATGGGGGGGGGGGGGAAGCTGAAGAAAAGATGCCACATCCTTTTAGAAAACTCAGTGAGACAGATCTTTCCATCATTTTAAGCTAGGACTTAGGAAGAATATTATGGCAGCTATTGCAAGCTGTTCCAGTCTCCTTGGTTTCAGAACCTTGTATATTTATCAGTAGATAAATTGATTTATGCATTATATCTCATAAGCAACCTCAGCCTTCCATCCTTCCAAGGTTGGTAAAATGAGGACTCAGATTGTTAGGGGCAATGTGCTGATATTTGTAAATCACTCAGTATATAAGTCTAAGTGATATTGCTATTGCTGTTCCTAAATATTTACATGTGTATGTAAGAGTACCAATCTAATCATATAAATGCTACCCTTGGCAGAAATGAATCTGCTTATGTATAATGTGATGTTACTAATTTTTATCTAAAAATATTAAAAGATCTGCAGATTTTTAAGAAGAGATCTGAAGGTTTTTAAGATGGGATTGGACAACCATCTGAAAAGGTATAGGGTTTCCTGCTTGAGCTAGGGGTTGGTCCAAGGTCCCTTCCAACTCTGTTATTCTGTTATTCCATTATCTTCAACTGAATATGCAGGAGCATTCATCCTCTCCCATTTTTGAAAGTGAAAATCTGAGAGCTGTTCCATTTAGGAGAGAGAATGTGGGGGTTTAATTAACTTGTAGCTATAATTTCTACTTGCCTTATTTCTTATTCTTTTCACTGCCAGGAATTGGATTGGCTCTCGTAGCTGCAATGAAGGGTTATCGCTGTGTCATTGTCATGCCAGAGAAAATGAGTATGGAAAAGGTGAGAGCCCTCTAAGTGGCTCAGCAGAAACATAACCATAGTCTAATCATTTTTCTTTTCTTCACTCTCTTCCCATTAGCACAAAGCCTGTCTTCTGGGCAACTGAATTCATGAAGTGGAGATAATCTGTTAACCTCATAGAACTAGAATTTTCATCATTCTTCTTGTGGGAAGCTACAGCCATTACATAAGAGCAACTTATTTTCTTTATTTCCATGGGGGGTGAGGAGAGGTGAAGAGGTTTGAGGGCTCCAGGATGTGTTGTAACTCAAACAAGTTAGTTCATCTCTGGTTGATGAACTCTGCCCTGGAAATAAGCATTGATTGGCTTATGGTGTTGCCTGCATATTTTTAGAATTCCAGAGGCAGCAGGTTGCTTTGTCAGAGATTGGGGAATGGAAATAATGTGGTTTGGAAATACCTATTAGTTGAGGATCATTTGAATAGCTGATAAGAATCCATCAATGAATGACTAGAAGTAAGTAATAGCTTGCTAGGAATTATGGGGTTTGTCTTAAAACATATAAAGGGTACCTGATTTGAAACAGTGACAATAAACTATAAGGCCTTAATTTTAGTAATGTACTTTTGTGAAAGAAGCATTGTCCACTTAGTTGTGCATATGCATGGCATATACAGGTAGTCCTCAACTTACAACCACAACTGAGCCCCAAAATTATGTTGCTAAATGAAACATTTGTGAAGTGAATTTTGCCACATTTTACGACCTTTCTTGCCACAGTTGTTACGGGAATCATTGCAGTTGTTAAATTAATAACATTGTTGTTAAGTGAATCTTTGCTTGTCAGAAGATCACAAAAGCTGATCACATGACCCCGGGACACTGCAACTGTCATAAATATGAACCAGTCATCAAGCATCCAAATTTTGATCATGCAACCAAGGGGATGCTGCAAATGTCATATGGGTGAAAAATGGTCATAAGTCACTTTTTTTCAGTGCTGTTGTAATTTTGAACGGTCACTAAATAAACTGTTGTAAGTTGAGGGCTACCTCTATATCAGAACTGGGCAACCTTTTGTGCTCCTCAGAGCTCTCAATTTTGCACCATCAGCAGTGTAATATGCATGTTAGTTTTTTTCTTTATTTCAGTCACAGAATCAATACTATGTACACATTCCTTTGTGTGGACTGATCTGCAAATGTTTTTCTATACACTCTTCCCTGGGAAATATCCCACCAAGGGTAGTGAGTCTTAGCTCAGATCAAATAGGCAATAAACCGGCATAAATTTGTATTTTCTGGCTTTTAATGGCCACAGCTAATGTAGTATTGCAGTACTATTATTAAGTATTATTATTAAGTGATACTGTGTGTTCCACTTCTTTTTAATTTACTTTTTTTTTTCTGAGCCACCCAGAATCAGTTGGATTTGGATTGTATCAAAATTGAATAAATAAATATTTTGTGAGATATGCTACTTGGTTTGTTTATATAAAGCATTTATATATTTATCTCAATTTAGATGAAATAATACAGCACAGAAAATTAATGCGATTTCTGGTTTCTACATCATCCTTCTAGGTTGATGTTCTGAGAGCACTTGGGGCTGAAATAATAAGAACTCCCTGCGCCAAGTTTGATGATCCAGAATCCAACGTTCGTGTTGCTTGGAAACTGAAAAATGAAATTCCAAACTCACATATTTTGGATCAGGTATAGATTCCTACTTCTGGTTTAGAATGGATCGATGTATTCTGAATTATTTTCCATCCAGTTGCTTTACTCAACCTGGGATACAAAACTATCTGTATAGTATTAATTTGGAGAAAGCTAACCTTCTCCAGAGATCTTATGAAAGGAGGCAAGAAGGGGCATAAAAGATTCTGAGCCTAAAATTAGGGCAGAACTGCAAACTTTCTAACCTTCGGCACCAAACAAACCTGTAGTGGCCCCTACCCTAATTACATGAACATGGATTTCTAATTACCTTTCTCATCTGGAAGGCAAAAATAAAGGCAGGATATACCAAGGAAAGTGACAGTCTTCCAGTCTCCTCTTCAGTATCTGAGTGGTTTAAAGCACGGGGCTCCAACCTTGGCAACTTTAAGATTTGTGGACTTCAGTTCCCAGAATTCCTCAGCCAGCCAATTCTGGGAGTTGAAGTCCACAAGCCTTAAAACCGCCAAGGTTGGAGACCCCTGCTTTCAAGAACTGTCTACTGCATGGCCAACTTACTTACCCTGTACCACACAGAAAGGCATATCTATTAATTGAAGGGAGCGATGGTTGTATTTTTCATGCTGTGTGAGCAAACCATTCAGATATTCTCCATCAGATTACTAGGAAGCAAGGTGTATCATCACATTCACCCCAAAGCTTATAAAATTTACTAACTGTATATACTGATTAAACACACATCTGTATATTATACTTGTTTAACATAACACGAAGAGAGTTTGGGGAAGTAAAAGAAAAACAAAAAGAGAAAACAATTATTTAAACTGAAACTTTTCTATGATAATGAAAAGAAAGCAACAGTTGATTATCTGCTGGTAGGTGACCATTGCAGAAAAAGAGGAACCAGGTGGCATGCTGGTTTCTTGGCTGAGTTGACAGGGTGGACAATGCTGCTTTTTGGTCTGCAACCTGAGTTCTTTTAGGTATTTTATTACATTTATGTAGCGGCAACAAATGTTAAAATATACCACTATTACCCTAGTCAAAACCTCTTGAGTCTCACTGTGTAGATCCAGCTGAACCATTTTCCACACCATTTTCAAATGCAACATTGCATGTAACACATTATAGTCTTTTGTATCATATTTCAGTAGAGCCTGGATAACCATTCAATATATCTGCAACAGCAAGTAAAACATAACTTTAAAAATAAAGTTTTATTTATTTATAAAGAAAGTATACTTGTGTAATAGCAATACTTCTCTATTATGATAGTTTTAGAGGTATATGGCTTGATACACTATCATTCCACTAATTTGAGCATTGGATGTTTTTCTTTTGTCTCTCTTTCTTTCCCATAATAGTATCGAAATGCAAGTAATCCATTGGCACACTATGATACCACAGCTGAAGAGATCTTGGAGCAGTGTGATGGTATGATTAATAACCCTTTGATCAATATAATGCGGACATTTCCTCTTCTTTTGAATAAAACGAAAACATAGTCTACCCAATTTATTAGAAATGTTGATTGTGAGTTGCCATTTCTCACTGCTGATTTTCTTCTACCATATCAGGATTTCACTTGGATGTGAATGTGGCAACCATTAGATACAATCTACAGTTTTACGATTATTACAATAAAATATATGAGGGATGTGCATCTGTACTTCCAAGTCCTCTTACTCTGCTTGTTTATTTGAAGCCCACGCTATTCCAAATAGCAATTAAGTAATCATTTCTAGAGTAAATAAACACTAAAATATTAGCCATCCTCTATTACTTGGTAACAGGCAATGTAAAAGGAAGCTTTTCTCAAAATGTATTAAGAATTACTGTACTGTCACTATGAGAAACACAGCAGTCACATATTCTGACTGCTGTAGAAGATTTAGCTGAAAGGCCACTAAATTTAAAGACTCCTTCAGGGTTGATCTTGATCTTGACATGATTGCACAGACATTCCCATATACAGTGGTACCTCGATACTCATCAAGTGTAATGAGTACCAAAAATGATGAGTACCAAACAATTTTTTCCCATAAAGCTTATGCTTATTCATTGACTACCAAACAAACAATGAGTGCCAGGACAAAATGTTTGCATCAAATTATGTTGAGTACCAAATTCTATGAGTTTCAAAGCAGTTGAGTACCAAGGCACCACTGTATTATATTAACTTTGGCAATAATATAAAAGTGACCTTCCGTTGTATTCTTCTGTGATGTTACAACAATTTGTTGCTCTTATTTGTTTCTCAGCCTGGCTTTTAATCCAGGATTTTGGTGGCCTCTCATCTTAGTATTAACAGGATTAATTTATATTTTTTTAAAAAATTTATATAGCTGTCCATCTTACAAAAAAAAATCACTCCGGGTGGCAGAGATATTGTCATACCTTCCAAGATGAGCCAAAGTCAGCCTCGTGCTGCTACCTGCTGGATATGAAAGATAGAAGCATGTCATTAAAAATAGATGTTAAGTGCAATCCCAGAAAACTGGAGTAAATCACTTATAACTAACAGTGATTAAATGATTGAACTTATATATACTAGTATGAACGTTACTCTTGCAATATAGTTAC